ATTGAAATAGAAATACAAAATAGAATTCAAATTAGAAGTAAATAAATAAATAAATAGTTGATTATTTAGCGAATAACTATATATAGAATATAGAAAAAGAAGTTAGTAGTAAAACAAGAACAGTAGAAGCAAAAGACTTTAGAAATAATAACGGAAATACACATAATCGTTTTTGACTAACTTAATTAGATATTAAGAACTTACAACCCATTTTATTAGGAAAGGCATTTGGACGACAGCAAATGGCATAGTTTAGTTGAAAGCGGTGTTGCAAAGTATTTTGTTGTAAGTCACTTTCTTTCTTAACTAAAATTGTCTATACGAGTATTAACATCTCCTAAGTAGAATACACTGTTTTTGGAGAGTGATTTAGCTTATATTCTCTTTTATCTACACGAAGACTAAAAACTCTATGTAATAGTTAGGCTATACTTAACAATAGGTTAGGTTAGGTTCAGAAGGTGTGTGTTGACAGTTGTCAGCACTTCCACTTGGAGACATATATTGCCTATTGTGTTGCCCTCAAAAATTATACCGGGAAAGGAAAGGTTGCTAACCTTTGTTATCTGTTTTAAACTATTTGAATTTCCAGATGAAGTTGAAGAGATCCAATAGATTTCAGTAAAAAGGCGATCCCCAAAACTTTGAAGTCGCCTTGTCTGCAGTCCTGGACAGAGACACAGAATGTGGTTAATAGATTCTATTTCCTTTTCATCTTCGCAACTCCTGCATTATCCACTTGTTGGAATTCGCCACCGTTGGAGCATAGGCACAATGGCACAGTGTCCTGTTAATACTCCAGTAAGTACACGAACTGCAGATTTGCTGAAGTCGAAAAGGCTTAGCGACCCCACAGTATTTGCGGTTAGCCTATAAATTGTTGGTCACCATATTGATAATTTCCTCTATTATCCGAAACAGTTCACATATCGGTGTTTGTATTGAAAGATCGGTCTCTCTTGTATGCAGTTCAGAACCTCTTCTGGCCATCTCATCTGCTAGTTCATTTCCTTCAATATTGTTATGTTCAGAAACCCAGCAAAAAGAGCGACCTTGTGAGAGACAACAATAACTTCTAAAAGTCTAGAAAATCAGATACGGTTCATTTTAACCGCTCTAACTATATTGAAGTACACACAACAAGGCAGTAATTGTTAATAAGTAAAAGACAATATAAAAAAAGTGAAGTCAGAAGTAAATGATATATATTTAATTGAAAACCTTATGTTACAGTGCACATGTGACATTACATTAACGCTTGCTGCACACATGACCTTACATTAACCCCTGACATGGTAGTTTCCATAACATGTTTTTACGTTAACTGTCTTAATGATATTTAATTTAGCAGATATAATAAAAAAGAATCACAATCACGTTACTTCGAGCTTGATAAACAATTGAGAAATAAAGCCCACGTCAAAAAAAAATCGCAATTTACAAATCTTTTATCATTCCTATCTTGCTGCATAATGAAGAAGTGTAAACAATATCTAACAGTGATGAGAGGAATGCTCATGCTTTCTCATCACTATAAGCATATCATCACTATATAAGCTATACCACGCATCAACATGATTAAATGCAAACATAGTTTCGTCATATTGTACGAATGGTTACTATAGAAAATTGTTTGGTGTGGTACCCGTTGGTGAAAAATGCAGTAGGAAGCGTTACCATCATTGGTGGGAGAATCCAGTGACCGACGATATGAAAAGAATCGTTACTGACCAACTGACAATAGCAAGCCATTGATCTACTTGAGTAAACCCAGTCAACAATAATACAAATCAGTAATATTCAACTAAATAAATAGGTTAATCCAAGTCCAACTTCTCTTGCCACCAATGGATTACAATATATTAATACACCATGTTTATATTAACGATATAACGATTAATGAATTGGTACAGAGGAGAAGGCACATTGGAAGCACGACTTTATTCTATAATTTTATGTAAATTTAATTGGTAATATACATTGTTAAAGAACTAACAATAATAATAATAATAATAATAATGATAGGTATTTATGATTCTTGACACATTTTCAGCGCGTTTGTTGTGCATCCACACGGATAGTTTATTTAACTATCTACTCCAAAACTGCAACAACTGTTAAAAATAATCCAGTAGAATGAAACTGGTATTGTTTATTAAAACAATAAACAATCTAAATGATTCTCAGATTTTAATGTTAAGGTAAATGTTACTTTCATACATTCAAATATATGAAATAAATATATTTTAGTTAAAGAATTTCAAGCATTTTTAATAAACGTAAACATTGTTTTCTAGTGTATAAAATTGACTAATCTAAAAATCTTGGCGTTAAGTGCGAAAACCAATCTCTGTAATTTTGCTTTGAATATCAATGGAAGTGCTTTCGATAAATCCAATCAACACCCACTACAGATGAAACAAAAGCTGAAACGTAGCTACAAAGCCAAATAAAGCAGAATTAATAAATGCAGCCCAACGGCACGAAACTATGTAATTGACAATGAGGCGGTTTGCATACGTCAGAAATCACTTGAGCGTTACGTTGAACAGCAGAATCTTTACTTTTTCTCGAATAGTTGAATACCTCGAATCTCGAATCTCGAATATATGTGTATTCTTCACTTCACTTCATGGAGCGTTTGCCATAAACGATTTTCAAGTAAAAAACACAAGTCAAAATATTTGAGTCTTTGTTACTCAAATGAAATGTTGACAAATTTTCTTTTATGTATTTTTTGTATTTTTTGTATTTTTTGTATTTATCATGAAAAGAAAAAGCAACGAAAAGAAAAAGAATTTTGAACTGAGGCAGCTAAATCTAAATATTTGATGTATCTTATTTTGACCTTTTAGCTGATACATTTTGCAAATCTGATGTTGAAGATTCGTACATTTTCGCTGTAGCACAATGCTGCTTTAATTGTGCCACAATAAAGTCAAGAATATCTTTTCAAAATTATAAATGTCGCAACAGATGGTTATACTATGTTTTCCACAAGCGAATTACACGTTGTTGCAATCAACCTACTTTGTAGATTTCACATACATTTAATTATTTGACTAACGACAGTACGAAAGACGAAAGACTGACTGATATGAGTTCATTAACCGATTTTGTGTTTGTAGAGGTCTTAGAAGAGATTAACAAATAAAAGTGGATTTCGAATACAGCAAAGTATTAAAAAACTCGCTCCATGGAATAAAATTGGCATTCTTATGTGGGAGTTCTGAGACTTGCTATATGCAAGGACTTTCATTGCAGATAAAGTGTGAGTACAGAATTTAGAAGAAATTGATATCTTTAATTTTTCTATCTAATGTAAATCAGTTATTAATCAGATTTTAATAAATAAATCAGCACGCCTGTATATTGTTTGCATGACCTAATTATTACATTTGTTATGAAAACGTTGAACATTAAAATATACCCTTACATAACTATATATACAACATGAATTTATGTAACTAATGTTTATATACATTGTAATAAACTGCGCAATTTTTGGTAGTTATATATAAAATAAATTGCAACACTATACAAGCACACTACGAAATATAAAAACAAATACAGGCATATTATTAAAAGATTCCAATTTTTTTAAAAAGATATTCTTAAAATTTTCATGTATAAATGTACAAACGCAGATGTGATTAAGAATATATACACCATAAGGAGAGTCCGATGTTTGCTTTATCGCAATATGAAGGAAAACACTACTAAATTATATTTTATTCCATTACATATCCTCCGTTTGGATATGGATATGGAGTGTGAAAAGCGATTTTCTCTTAATCTAGTTAAATTAAAAGTATAAGAAGAAATTTATGAAAGTATAAGAAGAATTTGCATACTCTGATCAAGTTTTTTCTTTTATGAAACTAAAAACAAATCCGTAAATATTTCACGAGTGTAGAACGAGTGTAGAAATTCATTTGTTATTTCAATAAGAAATAAATTCAATAAATTTACTTAAAATAGATTTAATTTTGTGAGATTATTTAAAACAAGACAATTTAGACAATATGAAAGACAATATAGTGTTATGATTACTAGATATACGTGTACCGATTGTCCTTGGTAAAGAAATGTTATAAATCAATTTCGAAAAAAAGTAAATTTTTCAAACTTTTACCATTTTATCTGAGACAAAAACTTAAGTACTAAAGATTATGTTCTGAGTATTAGAACTTCCATATGCAATTATAAAGTTCAATCTAACTAAAAAATAAATAATTGGCAATACTACGTTAGATGCGCCAAATATTTTAACAAATCATTGGTGCAAGAAATGAAAAATATTCGTATAAGAAGATGGGTCCATTCTCAATATAACTCTGAATATAAATTATTGTATTTATTGTATTTATTCTTAATAACTTCCTAGTTAATATGGCCCACCTATAATAAAATTAGATACTCAGAACTCATCAAAAGATACCATGTGAACACTGCAAGGCTTACTCCAGCTCTTTCTGGTCATTGGTGTATAGGAACTCACTCAGAGAAACTGCGCATTCCTCACAATCCTCACTACTCACTACAGAAGTTGTGGAAACTCGAATCCATAGCACATTTTCTCTGTGAATGCCCGGCTTTGGCGTCCAAAAGAAAAAGGTTTTTAGGAAGATACTACTATTTCATCTGTGAAGACGAAAGTAAAAAGTCACTAACGTGGAATTTAACTAAGAAAAGTCTGTCACTGCAATCAACCAACCAAGCCTAAACAATTCATATATTGATATACGAAAAAGAGTCATAAAAATATGTAAAGAAATTTTGACAATACGATTTTCCACAGAAATTATTTAAGATTTTTCAAAATAAATTAATTGAAACTACCATATTTTTCAATCCCATTAAAATGCAGAGAGGTATTAGACATCAATTTAAGATTATTTGAAGCACCGTTATCGAGACATTAAGCATTTTTGATACAGAAGGTTCTTTTGTGAATAGATCTTTGATTGACTAGTCGCACCCACATTTTTTCCACTTACTATAGTTGTAATAAACATCCTGTATATATCCAAAATACAGTATCTACAATATGCATAATTACCTGACAGTAGTGTCATTACTCCCGGAGACTACATATTCTCCTGATGGATTGAAGTCCAATGTGCGTACACTTTTCATGTGCCCATTAAGCGTAGAGCATATGGTCTGTGCGTTCAGGTCCCATCGACGAATGATACCAATATCATCGGCTGAATAAACGAAATCATCATTATAAGCAAACCGCACGCAATCTATAGGACGGTTGTGACTAGTGAGAGACTGAAATATACGAAATTTTAATATACAAAATTTGTCTTCACAATAAAACAAATTAAAAAATACATTATTGTTATTTACTTTATAAATAATGAATGATAAGCTTACCATAAAACATTCATCCTGTCCTATGGCCCATAAATTAATAGTGCGATCCTGGCCACCAGTAACCAAGACGCGTCCGGTTTCACCAAGACCGAGACATGTCACATTCGCATTATGGGCTTTTATCTCATCTACAGTGTTTTCACGTTTCACGTTTTTATGTTTTGTTTTGTGTTTTGTAGCGTTGTTGGTTTTAGGGCATTCATATAGAATTAATGATAAGTAAAGTAATATAATAACAGATATTAGTAATGATTCATACTAAAAACAATAAGAAACGCTTTAAGTAAGACAAATATATGATATCCGTAAAAATATTTTCAATTCGAAATACGACACTAAAAAATGAAAAAAAAGAAATATTTTCGTGCAACACCAACGCCTTCGAGTTTTGTAAGCTTTTGTGTGCAGAGGAATTTCATTAATTAAAATAAATTCTAATTAGGCTACGCAAAAACTTCAAAATTTTCTTATTCAAACGTAGCTGCGGCATAGGGGAAGTGGCCACATTTAGTCACATTTAGTCACATTTAGCTACATTTAGTTTTCAGTAGCAGACGTGCTAAAGTATTATTTTGTACGACTAAAAGAAGGGGAAGTGAAAAGTTAACTCGAGCAACAACAAAACAAATGAATTTGCATAACCTTGTGCATAATTTGCTTAACTTTTAACACTTAAATTTGTTTAATTTTATTAAATATTATTTGTATATGTATTTCATGGCAGCATTTTTCCGTGCTTTCGTAATTTTTGCGTAAGCGGCTTTTCACAATTTCCTTTTTAAATATTTAACGCCGACAATACTCACATATTTTGGCCGCTAAGTTCCGCGCTAATGCCATCACTTGCCACTTTAAACGGTTTTTATTTTATTTATTCTATTCAACGACTCGACCGTATTGCCCACAAATGAAACCAAGAACTTTATTATTAAATCCGCTGCTTTGATTTATTTAACTGAATTTCGATCACCGACGTCGTCGCTCCACCGTCACTTTTTCACCTTGCCTTTCAGCTAAGAACTTAATTTTTAGTTGCATTCGACCGTTTTTCACTTTTCCGCAGGCAATTCTTCTTCTATTCTCGTTGCGTTTAAATTAGGCGTTTTACATATAAATAACGTGCACAAATATTTAGCTAACATAAAAATAAAACAGAATCACTTTTTTGTTTTGCACAAAATAAAACAACAAAAAACAAAAATCCTTTCTTTTCCGTGGACAGCTTTTTCTGAAATGACAATAAAGACAAAAAACTACAAATTGTCTTTGACATTCTCTTTTGCGAATTCATACGCACTGGAAAATGACAGTTTCACCAATAACAGGGTGCTCAATCAAGTCAAAATATTATTCCAATTGCAAACAAAAATATTTACAGTTTAAAGCCAATCGAATTTTACTCTTGTATTTCACTGAGTGCCATATATATTTTTAATATGTGAGTGAGAAAATAATTCTTTATCAATTAATTTCATGTAATTATTCCGAAATTGTTAATGCATTTGAAAAACTCATGCCAAAAATATCTATTTATTAATCGTTTAGATCCATAGTGTAATGTCTAATTCAAGTCAGGTCTTGACCACAAAGAAAGTTGTGGATCATGTAATCATTGCTAAATTAAACGAAGTTGTTGACGAGGTAAAATTTCGCCTAAATGAATAATTGAATTGTGGGCACAATCATTCCATTCAAATGCAACATATAAGAATAACACAAGCCTTATATACATCTTCACGTCAAAGAAATTGTACAATAAGTTAATAATCTTGGCTTAGATTTCTCGCACCGAAGAAATACTTTACTTTAATATTGTTAAATATATGTTTGTAGCACCTTATAATGAAATCAGCTTTTGTTCTGCTGCTGAAAAATACTGCTAATTCATGTCTATCTAGTTAATCAGCAATTTCATTTCCCTCTATTTCTCAGTGCCCTAAAACCCATAGCTATATGCAGACTGGTTACTCACTGACCTCAGTTAAGTTTTGTTCAGTTCGGGAATATGGTTAATAAACGCGATAATAGCAACTCTACCGTTGTTATTACAATGTGTGGATTTTATTGAAATCAGTCGACCTGCCTTCATGATATTTTAATATTAAAATGGCCGTCATTATCTAAAAATGTTTGAAACAATTTTCTATATATTTTTATTTATATATTTTCCTTTAAAATTTAATATTCTTAAATATTGAAACTTTATTCGATTAGCAAAATAATTTGCATACAATGTGGTCAATAAAACTACATCAAAGCTAGATATCCACAAAAATTTATTTGTACATGTAATATCAGCTCCATTAACACTATGTGAATAAGTGAACTTAATTGATACACCAATAATGGAAATTAAACACATTTATTGAAACATATTTAATTTTTAGTCAGTACATATTGAGATAAAGTAAAAGGAAACTCAATTAATATATTTAATATTAACAATTTCTGTTAATGGCGTTACTTGTGCACACATCTTAGATACTTATTCAAGAACTCATCTCTCCATTAAAACTGTTTTGGACTTTATTGAAGGTTCCATGTGACAATAAGCCAAAGTGCATCCCTTGAATTACCGCTAATACGTGTATTAATTTAACAGAAGATAATCAACAAAACTTTTCATAAATTAATAATTTTGTATATTGAAAATTGTAATTAAAATTATCATTTTATATATTTACAAAACTTTCAGACAAAAATATTATTTTTTCAATACAATCCATTAATTTTTCATTCATTTCAAATTCAAAGTGGTCTTAATTCAGTTCTCTTAGAAATGTTCCTATTTAGTAATGTTCTAAGAACCCACAGCTGCAGTGATCATACATAACTGTCAATTTACTTAAAACATGAATTGTTTCTCAGTCTTCATAGGCCTGAAGGAAGCAAGTTACTGGAATTATTTTTACAGCATTTGTTGAGAACAATGTTTGCTAAGTTTTAGTGTTTTGTATTCGATATAAAGTTATAAAAGTTATATATTTGTAATAATGAATTAATATTCAAAATAATTCAAATTGTGGAAAAGAATTATATAACAATTATTCCTTAAAATATTAAAAATTGTAAAGATTATTAATTAAAACATAATTAATAATAAACCCCATCTACACTGAATTGACTTTAACAAGATTTAAAATAGAGTTTTACTTTTTCATTATTATTCAAAATAATTAATTAATGTGAACGTTATGAACAGTAATTATGTAATATTTATTCTTAAAATTTTTTTTTAAATATTAATTAAAACGCATTAAAATTAAAAGAATGAATTCAAACTTCTAAATACTACTTAAAACTCTCCATACACACTGGATAGACTTTGGCAAGATTTTTGAATATACTCTCATTTTCTTACTAAACCACATGCATTTTTTTCTAGCGGACAAAATTTGAAAACACCAATATTTATATATAGTATTTATGTATTTTATTCGCTATATAGAAATAAATTCATTACATGCATACACCAATTTATTATGTATATAAACACATCGATTTACGCATCGATATTATAAACCATTAGGCTTAATAATTGCAACATCTATATTATCTTATATCATATTATCATGAATCAAGAATATATTGTGATATTATTTTGATGTGACGTTCCATGAAATATTATATTTAAAGCGAGTTTGTGATATGTGGTAACACGCAAAAGGTGACAATAAAAATTCTGTATTTGAAGCTGGCAGTGCCACGCTGACAAACAGTTTTCAATTTTTTTAGAATCATTGTCGGTGTTTTTGCTTGGGAAGTAGTCAGTTAAGCGTTTATAATAAGAATTGCAAAATGTCTCGTTACGATCGTGCTGTTACAATTTTTTCACCCGATGGACATTTGCTTCAAGTGGAATATGCACAAGAAGCTGTACGCAAAGGTTCAACAGCAGTAAGTGCACTAACCTCAGATTACCTCAACAAATTGTCAGAAATAAATGTTCAATAAAATATTTTCTTTTAAGGTTGGTATTTGTGGAGCAAATTGTGTGGTTTTAGGTGTAGAAAAAAAATCTGTTGCAAAGCTTCAGGAAGAGCGAACAGTGCGAAAAATTTGCCCACTGGATGATCATGTTGTGATGGCATTTGCTGGTTTGACCGCCGATGCACGCGTTTTAATAAACCGTGCACAAGTAGAATGTCAAAGCCATAAGCTGAGCGTAGAAGATCCTGTTACATTGGAATATATTACACGGTAAGCGTTTAAGGAACTATAAGTACAATTAAAATCTTATTTACATGTGTAATTTAAATTTAGATATATTGCGCAGCTAAAACAAAAGTATACACAAAGTAATGGACGTCGTCCTTTTGGCATTTCCTGCCTTATTGCCGGTTTTGATATAAATGGTTCTTCACACTTGTATCAAACTGAACCTTCAGGTATTTATTATGAATGGAAAGCAAATGCTACTGGTCGCTCAGCAAAAACAGTGCGCGAGTTCTTAGAAAAACAGTATAAAGAAGAGGAAGTTGCCAATGAAAAAGGCGCTGTTAAATTGGCCATTAAGGCGTTACTAGAAGTAGCACAAACTGGACAAAAGAATCTAGAAATTGCAGTAATGGAAAAAAATAAACCACTAAAAATGCTTGATACAAAAACAATAGAGGAATATGTTGCTGTTATTGAAAAGGAGAAGGAGGAGGAAGCTGAAAAGAAGAAGCAGAAGAAGTAATGATCTGATTCAGTGCTTTCAAAGCGGCAGTTCATTCTACATTTATAATGAATTATAATAATATAATGTTTTTTACAACATAGTTTCGGTTGAGCTTTGATTTTATTAAAGTGGAATAAAAATAAAGATTTAAACCCCTACAAATATATTTTATAGTCATTTACGCGACTGTAAAAATTAATCATTCTTTAATTCTTTATAAAAGAACTATTGAAAAAGTAAACACAATTATTTTTAAAATTTAAGTGCCTTTCGGCCCAAAAAATATCTGAAACTGAAAGAAGTGAAGTATTTATCGAACTAAAAAAATATGTGATTGATCAAAGTTAAGGGGTTTCTTGTTGGATTGTTTCTTGTTGGATTGTTTCTTGTTGGATTGTTTCTTGTTTTTGTCTGTAAAAAATAATTGTAAAAAACTATTATATCAAAAACTGAATTTTTGAAGTAATTTAAGCTTAGCGAATGGTAGAGTTCTCATGACTTATCAATGTTCTCGTGTTGACGAAAGAAATTTATAATATGGTAATTCAGATTTTATTTCATTGTACGCTGTATGAACTCTCGTATGTGTATCGAAATAAGCACAGGAATGCAGTATGCTTACTGTATAATTTATAAACTAAAATATGCAAGCAAACATGGAGATAATATTGGCTTGTATTTTGCCAAACAGTATAACATATTTTTTATTTAAAGATATAAAAACTATACGCTTAATATAAATTATTTTTGTCCAATCTGTCAATCTCTTGCAAACGTATTGCAAAAGTATTCTCCAATGACATAGTAAACAGATTTAATTTTTCAAAAATATTCTCAACACCATTTGAAATAGTATTTAAGTCACATTTTAAATATATACATACATATATACGTTATAATAAGCAAATGTCAAAGTACCAGCTTGTAATATCAAAAACGTAGAAATTAAAATAAAGTTGCAGCTGATAGCACTAAAAACGCGACAAAATACAAAGCATATCCTAAAAAATATCTGTAACAAAAGTCACCGATGAGACAAGCTTTTTAGTACAGAGGATAAACCCCAAAAAGCGTAACTTGTAATTAGTAAAAGTCTGGCCAGAAGGATATGTTAAACCGTATTGCAAGCTTCTAACTACATCAATCATATTGAATAATAATGATAATGAATAAAAATTTATAGTCCCACTTTAAATGGGAGTCCTTTTATATACATAAATGATTATGAGATAGGTAATCGCTAGTTATGATCGCTATTGGTAAATCTTCCGAGAAGCTAAATTTATCCAATTACTTCGGGCTCTCAAAGTTTGCATTGTCCTCAAGACATAAGACATAAGAAAATTCTATGTTGCCTAAATATTAAAAATATATTCCTAATACGAACTCTAATACATTATTATGTGTATGTTCTAGACTACATCTCACTGCTCAATTCCTAATGTGTTACTTATGTAGATCGCCCATTCCTTTGAGAACTCTTAAAGAACATTGTCTTATTATTCGCAGCAATAAAATTATCATTTAGGCCCCCATGTAGACATACCTCTCAAATTTTAATTATAAATTTGTTGTGTATTTTATAGTTCATTCACAAAAATAAGTGATAGATGTAATATTATTAGTTTAACAGTTTGTTATATCAATTTATTTACTGATAGGGCAGTAGTGATGAAAATGAAGGAGGTAGAACCTAGTATGCCTTTTCTCTGCCGACATTTATAGCTTTTTTTTCTATCGGTGAACACTCTTTTAAATTTACATTAATGGCTTCTGTTGTTGTTGAAGCCAATGTCGTCCTAAAAGCAATACATAAAAGGTTTACAAACACATTGTACAACGTAATGGTATATTGGAAAAAAGGAGTAAGGAAGGGGTATGGGTAAGGATACTGAATCAAACCGTAATCCAAATTGAGGGATCTTTAAGAGCTTTATTGAAGGTTGGAAATAATTTTCAGATTTCCTGTAGAGTTGAAACCAATTACTAAAATTGAGATTTATGTATTTTTCGCACTCTCAACAACCTCAATACCTCTTCACTTTTATAAACACTATAATTTATAATTTAATGTTGTATTTTGAAAATCTTATATACAAATATAGCTTTTTGGAAACTTTTCACATTTACGTTTAAGGAATTTTAAATCACAGTTCAATCAAAAAAATATATCTGTCCTTAAATTAGATCACTTGGTGCTAATTGCGATTCGCCTTCGGCAAGATAGATTTGCAACGATTTATATAGTAGAGCTATTCCCAGCTGTTTCTTTATCTTCATTGACCAGTTTTTAGATGGCCCATAATAATCACCGCGCTTTATGTTTGTCAAATGATTAAGACTCAATGCATCGATTATGGCAGCTTCACGGGTATATGCTTCTATGGGTAAAATATTATGGAATACATTCAAGCAAACAACGCCGCATCCATTGCCCCAAATTTTTAAAATACGATCAAGTTTTTTGTTATTTGAAAATTTAGTGGGCGGTGATTTAATGAGATCCATATTGAGTGTATGTTTCCTAACTATTAAATAAATAAAAGCCATAGTGAAGATCTTTAAAGAACATGCTATTATATTTCGATGTTTACCTGGTACTTTCTTTTCATTTGAAGTGCCTCTACCAGAATGCAGCTGTGAATGTGCTTTCATAGCATCATACAGATGTGAATAGGGACGCGAGGATTTACCCTTACCAACATAGAATATTGAATGTAGGAAACGCTTCCAGACATCAGGTTTGTTAAGGTACTAAAAAATAAATAATTTTATTTAAGTTAAATCAATACACACAATTACTATTTTATGATATTTTATGACTTACTACACTCTCCCCAGGTAAGTTACAGGATATGCAAGGATCTATTAACATATATATAAAGCTCTGTTTAAGATGACCTTCACGCATATTTCGCTTTTCTTTATTATTTGCAAAATAGGACATGGCATCTGCTTCATACTTCAAATAATTTGCTATATTCTCAAATTCCTCCTCCCTGCGCACCGTACGGTATAATTCCACAGAAAATTCTACACAAAAGTAAATTTTATTATTGTTTGCAATGTTGCAATATTATACACAATGAAAAAATTATAATTTAATAAATGGCTAACTTGGCTTTCTGATTCTCGAGTTAAGCTTAGCTCTTGCCTTCGCAAAGCTTCTCTGAACTACCAAATTAAAGAATTTAAATTGATTAGCAAACATGATCTAAAAGTTTCCAAAAATAATGCTTAAAAATCGACAACACAAAATATGAAACAATCACAAAGATTTAAATTTATTTTTTGAAAATAACTTATATTTGATACTTACTTTGGTCCTGACTACTTTGTTTTTCTCTAAGTTCTTTCATTAATTCTGGATTTCGTTTGTACTTCACTAGACGTTTAATGTATAAACGCTTTGTAGTTTTAGTAATAGGCCCTGAAAAATATAACGAAAAATATAGTTATATATTTTTATATACCATATATAAAAAAAATACATATACATAAACGAGAGTAATTGAGTATATAATAATTGATAATTGAGTATATATTTTTCGGAATATTGACTTTGCAGTATATGGTGTAGAATTTTGTTAGAAGTGAATCGTGTCTTTTAAAAATCGTGTTTATGGTAAGTATATATATAATATCTGATGTCGCTGAATCAAAGTTGAAGATAGCAGAGAATTTGATGAGGTAAACATGAATTTGAAAAGCAATGGGCTTTTTACCAATATACAGTTCATTTTTATACTATAAGAGTTATTCTCCCACATCATATGATAGAATTCAAAACTTTGAGTTTTCTGCTGAAGTCAGTACCTCTTGGATAACATGACATAGATTTCTATCTTCAGGTAGAAATATAAATATTATACAATTTATTTCATTTAAATTTGTCGATATTTCGTAATTTATAATTTAAATTATTTTTTTTTTAACAATTTTGCTAATTACACGTATATAATAGTGTCACCGAAAATAAGCTTACATAGATATACATGACATACTGTTATATATACCGACATTGGTGTTTATTATCTCCTACTGGTAATCCAAAAGGTCTCAAAGAACTCCGTCGCTTTTATACTTTTTTAACCCAACAATATATTTACCCATGTATTTGTAATTATAAGTGCTGTCGTGTTATCTGTCATATAAATTCCCATGGATTTTCACAATAACACACCCACTTACTGTCACTAAATATACATTTTTTAATAATATTTACAAAAGCTTTGAGGTACTAAACATTAGATATTAAATTTATGCGTTCTTGCGTTGATTAAGTTAACTATATCGGAACTAATGTGCAGTATTTCGTTGAATCGGTTAGGCTAGAACATCATAGTAACTTATCAGTCACGTTTGATTTTATATGCGCCAATTAACAAGAGCAATATTTTGGATGAGATTCTTACTATAAATGGTTAAATTACCGAAGCATCATTCAATAGAATTTTAAGGGTGCAGGAAAAGATAGATATCCATATAAAATGCACCAAACTACTTTATGCTGCTAATAGCAATGTTACTTATCACAAATTCGCCTACACGCATGATATACAGATATACAAAATAGGTTTACAAAAATATGTGACGAATCTTCTTATTTCCAAACAAAGTGCTTTCTGAAAATGCCCGAGGCGAATATAATAAACGTAGTGGATGAGAAGAGTGAGTGGGTGTAAAATGTAACAAAATAAAAACAATTTCAGTTATACATATTCTGAAATAGTACGCAACAAATTTGACCAGTTTCGAAAGACTATATAAAGAATTCATATTAAATAAGCCGATAGAGACGAAAGGATAACTATTACTTAAAAAATGCAGAAATCATAGAGAGATATTTAAATAAATTTAATGGTAGTTACCTGGTGCTTCACCAAAAGTTGTAAGTTCTGCACGTAATTCATCAGTCTCATAATCAATTGGCAAAGTTATGTTAGTGGACTGCGTCGTCGTTGTCTGATTCAAGTTACAGCGCTTTCTACATATACACAAAAAAAAATTGTTTGTAAAAATGAAATTTAAGCACATTTTTAAATATGTATTAGAAATAATTTATTGTGTACGTATTATATACAATTACTACCGAATTCGTTCCATTATAAATATTTATTTATAAAAAAATTCTTACAATATTAAAAATTGTCTATTGGTTACAAATTTATGCATCTCAAAAGGAAATTTATTGCAACGTCCTGGAACCAATGACTTATTACACAGTATGTTTTAGTTGAAAAGTGAACGAAAGTCACATGTAATAATATGAATTAATAGATCTAGCTGTAAAAAAATACATAGTTACCTTATAGCTGAACTTCTTTGCTGTGCCACTTTATTTCCGGGATTGCTTGGTAATTTGGTTTCATAAAACACAAGTCCATTTTCATCGTCCGTATGCACATAAGCTTCCTTCATTTGTAAATAAAAATCACTTTTGGGTGATCGTATGAAGCTCATACTGCTGTTCATACCGCTTAAATCGGCACACATCGCATCAGGTACTTCTAAGTTATTTTGTCTGTTAGCGTCAAACTCAGGTACCGTTTGGTAACTACTTTCGGTGTCCGGTAACACATTTAGTTTGGCTGTTTGAGCCTCTGCCACTCTTTGAATCAACGCACCCAACGACACATTTTGTACTTTACGTTGTGGTACTCTTTCTTCTGAACCTTCCTTACGATCATGTGATGCTATGGAACCACAAGCACCACTATCTCCATCAGTCGTCTTACTGGATTTTTCTTTATATAAAACGTTAGTAAAATTAAGATGATCACTTGCCATTACATTGTCGATCATTTCACTTATGTCGTCATACTCTTTCAGTATAGTTTGACGTGCTTTAGTGTTTTGTACCTTCTGTCGCCAAACGTCTATTAGGGATACGCGTGACCGACTATGGTCTGGTGCAGTCTGTGAAAGTTCTTCAACGTTTTCACGTGTTAATGCAAATAAATTTATTGGTTTTTCCTCAGCTTGTGAAGATTCATCTAACTGAATAAGGTTATTTTATTTTATTTCTAAGTAAAATTGGGTTATTTAAATACAATTCTATTTACCACAAACGTTTTATTAACTAAATTCATTTTTTCAGACGTTTCTGTATTTTTTCCTATGTCAGCTGATTCTTTAGGCGGTAAGTCCAATACCGGAAACTTTGGCTGCAACTGGTGTCGCCGATGTGTTATATTTATATAGTAAGGTGAAGTAACATCGTAGTTGTAATGTACTCGATTTGGTGTGTATTTGATGCTGTCCAACATTTCATTCGTCACTCTAAGCGCTTTGTTATTTGCTTTGTCGGGAGTATTTTTGCAATCTGGTTCAGCATTTGGTGTGGAAGTTTTTTGATTACATATTTTTTTTTGTAAATAGTATTCGAATTTAGATTTCGACAATGAATCCTGTGAGACATTTTGTTTACATTTTAATATTTTTGAGTGCTGTTTTTGTTTTTCTCTAAATTTGTTTTGGAATATATGATCGCGCATAACTTGGACAACTTCAAAGTAGCATTCTTCAATCGCATAATGCAAAGGCGTTTTACGTTGATCATCTGAAATATCTAACTGAGCGTTGTGCTCCTTAAAACATTCTTATTATTGCAGTTCTAAAATTTTATTTGTGTTTGCTGTCATAGCTCACCAGTAGCATTTCTACTATGCCAACGCGTCCGTGCATAGCCGCTATGTGAAGTGGGGTCATATTTTCGTCAGTAAGAACATTTGGATTAGCTAGAAACACATTTACGATTAAAATTTTATGAAATGGAAAATATTATTAAAATTCACCTCCGCTTTCGAGAAATCGTTTAGTTATTTTATATGACAATTCAGCATTTTCCATACCACACGAGAAATGCAGTGGTGCAATACCACGCTCAATAGGCACGAAACTCGGATCCACCATATTTTTATCAAGTATACTGCAAATGTCTCTAACGGTTTTGAAAAGGCATTTAGTTTTACAAACATTAGTCAATTACAAAATAACGGCTTAAAAATGTCAACTTACTCTTCGTTTTCATCATCAAGAGCATCAATTAATATGAGCGCTAAGAAATTTAGCCGCTGATTCATATCAATATTATTAGTAACAATAAAAACGCAGAATCTTTATGAACTACAATTACTTATTTCTGACGGCTCTGCTAATAGCACCACAGCAAGAGTAATGTTTACGAATGGCTTGAAATGTTAAGCGTTCTTTGTTGTTGTTTTGAAATCGTTTCTTAAGTTCTTTACGTCAGATGGCGGTCTGAAGAAATTTAAAATTTTTAATGACAGTGTTGCATTTTGTGACTTTGACGCGATCAGTAATAATTCTTAATAATTTATATATGATAGCAATACTTATATATAATTGTCTTGCATTTAATATTTATATCAATGTATGTTAAATATATTATATATAAGTTGATATTAAATCCTTTTTTAAATTTTAAGTTATTTAATAATATTAATGTTGTGGCATTAATACAATTTTCAAGCCCGGTGATTTGATGGTGGAGTTCTATTAATTTAAAGTTTGAGTAATTTTAGGTCGTGCGCGAGTTAGGCTAAGGTCGTGTGCGAGTTAGGCTAAGTTGCGTTCTAAATGAGGGAAATTCTAAGTTGTGTCGATAAGTGTATTGTGTGTCGATACGTGTGATAAATGGCAAAATGTGTGCAGTGCAAAAACTCCCAAAAAATCTCCCATTTGGTTTAGCATCAACTTAGCCTAACTCGCACACGACCTTACTACCATAGCGCAGTGAACACAGTATCAAACTCTAAAAAATTATGCATACAGTTTTATCAACATATATTAGAACAAAAATTTTACCCAGAATAATTGTTTATACCAAAATCAAAAGTCAAATTGCAGTACCTCTAATCGTTATTGTATCATAAATAAAGATCACAAGTTATAAATATTTTTATATCAGACATTTCTTAGTTTGACATATTCTTAATAGTATAAAAACTGAACAATTTATTATTTAACATAAATCTACATTGTTACAAACAACTAATAGGAGACCAGGTGTTATTCAACTATGATGCCAAAGTACCGTTGATATTTCATCGCTTGAAGGGAAGTGGGAGGAAGGTGGACTGAATCAAGTTACAGCAATAAGCGAATATTCAGTTTACACTACAACTAGCCACTATGTATTCAAAACAATTTAGTACAGAGGTTGGATTAAAATCTCGTGAATATCAATAGGTTGTCCCATGTAGCAGCTATTAACTTACTTATTACTAGTTTCAAAATGAGTTAAACAGTGTTTCTTTTGCTATAGAAAACAAAAATCATCAGGATAATTACCAAGTATTAGCTCACTAGTGGGTGTCTGTAGATATTTATTTAAGACTATTTACTGAAGCAGTGGCGTCGCTAGGCGTCAGCGAGGTCGGCGACCGCCGACGGCCTCGCGCCCGCAAAGGCCTCGCAAAAAGTTACCGACTGTGGATTCTAAGCACTTGATAAATATTTTGAGCAATTTGGTTTGATAATGGCATTAACTATATTTGAAGTATTCCCTAATGTTTATATAGTAATCAGATTCATGTTCACAGTTCCAGTCAGTATAGCTTCGACGAAAAGAAAGAAACAAAGTTAAAATTGTTTAAGACGTACTAGAAAAATATGATGGTTCAAGAGAGACTATCTTCATTATGATATAATTTAAAAAAAAATAGGGTGATACTAAAAGTAGGAAAATTCATTTATTTTAATTTGTGTTTATTTTAAATTGATTAGCAATAAAACTTTCAATCATGCTTTGTCGTATTAGTGAATGTAACTTATTTACTTTTATAACTGGGTTATAAAGGGGGCCTCGCAATTCTGATGTCGCCGACGTGCAGAGTTGGTCTAGATCCGCCACTGTACTGAAGACAAAATACTTATTAAAACACAAAATACTCTCTTTAACTAGTTATGTTTTCATTCATTTACATTATTATTTTACATCTAAAAATGTTTCTAGTTTAGCTTTAATAACTTTGAATTAAAGAATAAATTGATTTTAATTTATTTATTGCATTTCCTTTATAAAATTTATATTAAATGAATAGTTTTTAATAGTTAAAATATTAATTTATTAAACAAAAAATAGAAAATCGAATTTCTATGCATGATAGATTACTAGTTCATTATAGTCTAGTCAGATTATGCACTAAGAAATAACAATATTACACTTGTGACAACATTTCGTACCATATTAAAATTTTTTTCACATTTTTTTATATTTTTATTAAAAAATTATAATTCAGTTTATAATTTTTATATATATGAAATTTTATATATAAAATTATCACCATATCAAATTTAATAATTACAGAAGATATGTCGTAATCTCAAACAATATATAGAACATCAATTATCGATAACTGTTTTAGTCTCAATTACACGTTTGTAATAAATTGCAGACCTTTTCGGAATACGTTCCTTGTTCTCGCTTGTCAGGTTAACATAGTACAAACCAAATTTTTCACTGCGAACCAATAAACTTAGTGAGAATTAATCGACGTAAAAGGTATCAATGAACTTACGTGTAACCTCTCTGCCATTCAAAATTATCGATTAAACTCCAATGAGTATAGCGCGAAACATTACAGCCACTGTTCACAGCATTTAACACGGCTTGCAGGTGGGCCTGAAAAGGCGTTAATGAAATTAGCACACTTTCCACACGCAACATAGGTGTTGCTGTACTTAAACTTTTCAGTGCATGCTTAACTGGTATTTTTATTTTTTTATTACCTTCAAATAATCGATCCGCTCGCTGTCATCTAGTGTACCTTCGTCCGACCAACCGTTTTCTGTTATTATAACTTCAACATTATTGTAATTATCACGTATCCACCTGTAAATAATTTTCAAAAAAAACATATATTTTTGAAGATTAATGAAATTGCTTTTACTTTAGTAAATCTTCTAAGCCTTCCGGCACGCAATACAACCAAGTGGATTTTGCGCGTCTCCATTTGCTATCAATGTCATATTTCAAGTGTGCATCATGGTCCCAAGAAGGTACTACACCTTTTGGTGGTAGTGCTTCCTCAACATAACGGGATGAGTAGTAATTCAAGCCCAAAAAATCACCAGATCCTTTAATGGCATTTAGCCACCAACTTTTAAGAGCTGATAATCGTGGCCATGCTCGACCTTCTTTCTGGCTGTTACTAACAATATCCTCTATCATAATGTATGGATAATTTCCCGACAAGCTAAATATGGGATGTGCTAACCAACCCAACTAAGAAAATGAATTTATTTGTTAATATACAATTTTTTACACCGCAGCTTCGAAGTTTCATACCGAATATTGCATTCCACGATCTACTGCATCATTATCATTCGTCTTCGAATACAAAAACCGACTGCTTATTGTGATGCCCACTTTACCGCCTTGGGTTTCGAAATACTTTGCTTTATAGAGACGATAAGCTGCAGCATGTGCTTTCAAAGTAGTTTCCATGCACATGTAATCAGCCACGCCAGAAGCACGTACCATTGGTGGAAAATTACAACTGCCATACCCTGGTACACAATAATCAAAGGGCTCATTAAAAGTAACCCATACCTTGACACGATCACCAAAATTTTCGTATAAGGTGTCTGCGTAATAGCGAAAATATTTAATAAATATTTCATTTGTAAATCCTCCCAAATCGCTTAAGGCTTGTGGCAGATCATAATGAATCATAGTTACCATTGGTTCAATACCATTACTTATGAGCTTGTTAATAACCATATTGTAGTAATCGATGCCCTTCTGATTTTTTGACGAAATGTCTCCATTTGGCAAGATTCTAGGCCATGAAATCGAAAAACGATAGAAGTTCACCTACAAATTAAATGAAAGCGGATGAGGATGACATGCAAATTTCAAGTTTTACACATTTGTAAATTTATTATAATTTATCTATGGTCTTGCTATAACTTTCTAATATATAAACTAATTTTACACATAATACAAAATTTATTATTTATTACTTTATCTCAAAAAAGAACACAATTTAGCACCTTACCTTAAGTTCTTTAAGCGCTGCTAGATCTTGTTCAAAACGATGATAGGAATCTGGACCAATGTCGCCATTCGAGCGATCATCTATCATTTCAGGATGGTCGTGTGTAAAAGTATCCCAGATCGATAAACCTTTACCATCTTCATTCCAAGCGCCTTCAATCTGATAAGCGGCGGTCGAAACGCCAAACGAAAAGTTTGATGGAAACTTTTCACTTCCGATTTTATGTTTCAATTCGCATATCTTCTGGGCATTTATCGCTGTCACTGATCGAGTGTGCAGAAAACAAAAAGCGACAACCAACAGCTGTAAATCAAATTTAGTTTTAATATTTTTAGATATAGGTCGTGTGCGAGTTAGGCTAAGTTGATGCTAAACCAAATGGGAGATTTTTTGGGATTTTTTGCACTGCAGAAATTTAGCCATTTATCAACACGTATCGACACATCACTACATTATCGGCTCATCTTAGTATTTCCCTCATTTAGAACGCAACTTAGCCTAACTCGCACACGTCCATAATATAAATTACACTCATATTCTAATAAAAGTACACATAAGAATACACATACCAAATGGTAAGAGTACTTCTTCATTATCGTGACTTTTGCAACTAATCGTAATTCAATTATTAGACTGCGAAGAAAGCGACTCAAACAATTCTCCCATCAATACGGCTGCTCCTCTTCGGCAGACCGTCAAGAACTGATAAGAATGTGTATTGTTTGCAAAAGATTGTTTGATTTTTTCTTTCTTTATTAAAATAAAAATCACTTGCATCTACACTGAGTTACAAAAATTTTGGTACGCTATATAAAATGTACCAAAATTTACTAATAAAGCAAATTATCACAACTTATGGTATACGATTATTATATCAATTTATGTAAGCCATTACTATCAGATAATGTGGAATGATGGTGGCCATACTATTCAATGGCGTAGCCAGGATTGTGCTAAAGCGGTAGGAAGGCTATTTACTGAATAGTTTTTGTTTGATTTTTATTGAAGTTCACTAAATACTAAATAATAATATAAATGTAACAGTTAATAAACCTTGTTGTCCAACAGAGAAAATAATTTTAAAAAATATAAACTAATACTTTTCTCAGCATTGTGAATATACAATAGTCTGTTTTAGAAAATCTTCATTTACAAATTAAAATCGTTCGACCAAATAACTTGGAAATATAAGTATAAATATCCTTATTTTATAAATTTAAATATTTTTGGTTCTTGATGTGTTAAACAGCGCTTTTTTAAGAGTTGAGCTGTAACTCTTAAATCAATCTTAATCATTCAATCTTAACTTTAGACCAAACTTTAAATAATAACTGCAGAACTTACTATCATTCTCTTGTGTTCCCGATTTGTAAAATTTCTCTTCTATTTCATTGTGTTTTGTGTTGTATTATTTTATTAGTGCAACATACTAGGTTGCCAATGTTAAGTGGAACCATCCAGAAAAACCTTAAGATGAAATTGACTAATGATAAATTTACCGACGTATTTGAAACGTCAGTCTTGGGAAATTTTTGTTATGAAGCAGTATACACCACAAGAACGCGTTAAAGCCCATGAGAATTTTTGGCGAACAATAATCAAAAGTGATGAGATACGTTTCATATTAAATGGAACCATAAACAAATAAAATTGGCGATTTTAATGAATGGAAAACCTTCAAATTATTAAAAAAGCGGTCAAAAGGTAACAGTTGTGGAATTTGTGACAAAGCAACAACCTTCAATCAGTTGCGTTATTGTGGTTTAATAATCAATTTTTTAAAGTGAATTGTTATTGAAAATGATATGCAGAACTTTTACTTTCAATAATACAGTGCACTACCTTTTACAACTCGTGTCCAAATCGATTTCTTGAAAAAATAAAACTAGAAACTAAAAAGTTTCTAACCCATTAACTGTATCCAAGTGTAACGCGGTAAGATAAATTTAAATCGTTCAATTTTATCTGCCTGCAATAATTTGTAAATTTATTTGAAAAAAAAAAGACACTGCATTTCGGAGATGGTCGAGCTTCTATCTTGCAGCAGCGTATCATTATACAGATCCCAATACAATACAATACAATAATTCAATAATAATACAATAATCAAGTATATATATATTGAAGACCTCTAAAGATTACTCAGTAACGATTAGACAATTCTGACCTAAATGCTTGCAAAAGGAGTTTGAAACACACCTCATTAATAATACTTCACTTAAGACCTCAAATCAATTGTACACAGTAAATAAAATTTAATTAAGAAAATCCAATAATCTGCATTTCAATATATACCTTTCTGTACTTGAATAGTTCCATTCTGATAACTAACCCATTTTCATACAACCTGTCCTTATCACCCCGACATGAGTAATAAAAATTGTTGGGTATTTGTAAATACTGCAGACTTAAAAAGAAACCTATATTCTTCTCAATCCATGGAGGTACTGGTATCAAATTCACGGATGACGATAAAGTGAATTTGAAGCTTTTACCATTTCCTTGGAACTACGATACAGTAAAAAATATAAACAAAACAACTAGTGAAAACATGGAGTTTGTGCGAAAAAAAGTAGCGCCTTATTAGACGCAATTGGACATCAGGAACTATAAACTAATTAAAAAGAATATTTCATATTCGAATATTTCCTAAGACCACTGATGATGACGTGGCAATACTCGAAACTGCATTGTATGGTCAGCCAATTTTCAATAAATTAACTAAATTTTTGTTCTTGTCTCTTTTTTTTACTATTCGAATCCATCTAACTTTTGAATAGTTTCTTTTCGTCACTCACTCTCGACAAGCAAAAATTAATATATAATTTTAATTTATAAACAAAAAGTTACATTAAATACAAAATAAATGCAATCAAGGGACTTCATATTCAAACAGTTTTTTACGCCAAAATTATATACATAAATTAAAACCATAACTTGTTAACAAAATATAAAGCTTTGCCAACTACTTCAATTTCAGATACATATGTATCGTTTCAGCAAAGAAGTTCCTGATCATTGTTTGGTGAAAGACAGCTAATATAACATAGTATAGTTTTGAAAACTTGTGAAGAGGTTAGCTGCAGTCTAAATAAATTAAAATACGTTAAAATATATATATTTAGAGTTAATACCGTTAAATTATAAAATTAAACCAAACACATTAATTAATTTTAAAAAAACTTATATAAGTTAATGAACATTAACATATTTTAATAATCATACAATAATTGTATCAAAACAATATCCCGTTGGAATTTGTGTTTTGATGCAATTTTGTTAAAACAATTTACGGTTATCAAATTATTGAAAAACAACATGTTTGTTAATAATTTTGTCAAAATTAGACACCGTAACTGAATTTTCTGCAAAACAATATCCCGCAATGGATATTGTTGAAGGGTTATTGTTGTTGTTAATATTTGTTTTTCGAATTAAGAATTTTAAGTTAAACGCGCACTTGCTAAGTTAGTTTAAGTTAGTTATTAAGGGAAAATATAAGAATAAAGTGGTCATCTCGGAGAATTCGAAATAAGTTGTTATTTTTCTTGGTATAATAAACATAATATACAATAATTTGTATTCTGAGTGATGAAATTTGGATCGTAATTAAATTTTAACATGGAGTTGAGAAATACAACTCTGTAGTTGTAATCCAATGTCAACCTATGTTCCACATTTTCTTGACAAATGAAAATGCAAAGTGAGACCTCAAAATTTTCGTTATTGAGCGCAAAAGTTAAAAGATTTTATGAAAGTGTTGGGGAAGCACATAAAAGTGAAGATTTAAAAAAATTAAGCAATTATTTTTGTGCAAATAAAACATTTAACTGTCATGAAATATTCAATTTATTGCTTAGCGGAGATACAGAAAATGAAAAGAAATATGAATATTTAAAAGGTGAGATGAGTAAAATAATGAACTTTATTTAATAAAAATTAAACGTATATTATATAAAGCAGATTTTAATTATGAGGACTTTCTGTGCTATTATAAAAAATTGCTTCCTATTTATGTGTACTGTCAACTCGTTTTTGCAAACGTGCCATTGGATGAGCTGGAACTGGAATGGTTAGGTGGAAATTTGAAATACATCACATTAGCAGGAAGTCAAGATGAATCAAAAGGAAACCTCGAGCAGTTACTTCTGCTTACCGCAGTGCTTGAAAATGCATTGGGCAACGTTTATTATACTGTTTCGGAAAAGCGTAATCCTCCACACTTGTTGAGAGATTTATTGGCTACAGCTGAAATTGCAAATATTTTTGGAACAGATCTGGTAAATTTTATTTTATTATAGTTTATTGTTGAGTTAAAACTACAATTTATAACAACTGGAAGTCAGTTAATCTTAGCAGTTATTTGAAGTTTAAATTGTTGCTAAACAAATATTTTAAAAATAATGCTATCACAAAAAGAATGGTGTACTGGAATTTAACAGTTTAAAATAACTATAATTAATTGATTCAATAATTCAATAGCTGGTTTATGATAGCGTTCTAATATAACATAGCAAGTGAATTTGTAAATGAACTTGCACAGTAACTGACTAATTAACACTGACTCTTGTGTTAAGCTTCAAATTCAAATTTGGATTGAAATAGTCTCTTAATATGTCTTAAGCTATAATCGTTAAATTAAAAAAGAAATTAATAAAATGCATAAGTATATAATACATTAGTATACATATATAATAATGTATTTGTATTTGATTTTTAGGTATTATTCATGCAAATCCTATTGGGCACACCAAAATCAATAAATTTGAGGAACATTGTTTGGCATGGTTTCCTTAACTCTAATGAAGTTCCACCTTACTACAGTAGCGTATTACTATTGTTATTGCACACGCTGGGATCCAAATTGGGGAACATAAAATTGGAAATTATACAACGACCACACAAAGAAGACTACAGTTATTATTGGCATCAATTTGATGCAGTGTCAAATATACCGTCCGCATGTCAAAGGGACCTCATAGCTAAATGTTGTTACATTGATGATGGGTTTAAAGCTTACTGGCAGCAGATATTTAGCTACTATGAAAATAAACAATATTGGTTGTTCGTAATGCTAATTTTGCCACAAATTGAGTTGCTGCTTAGAATGGTCTATCAAAGTGTCAACGGATATGATGTAAGCGCTAAGATTGATGAATACTATATAACAATAGATACCATATTTGAAATGCATGTACCAAATGCAGAAGGAAATTGTTTAAAAATAAATAAAATATTTACCACCGATACTGCCATCAATGAAGGTGCTTTGAAATTAATGTATGATTTATTTGTGGCACCTAATGGACCACGTATTCGTGATAAAGTCAGCCATGGTGAAGTTTTGATGGATATGATAGATGATGCTCTATTATGTCGTATTTTGCTATATTTATGCTTTAATATTATAACGAACAATAATGTGCAATATTCATTAGAGGCTTATGAAAGTAAGTTTCACTTAAATAGTTTAAACCGCAAATCCATTATAAGTGCCATAGAGCAACTGGAGTGCTTTGCGCAGTCATGGTTACCTGATTACACCACTTATGAGTTTACTGAATTAAGTTCCAAGTTCACAAGTACCGTCAAAATTTTTCAACGTCCAAAACTAGAATCAGAAGCTATGCTGCTAGTTATGAAAATCTCTCAATTTGTATCAAAAATTTGCCTTAACTACACAGACACCCTAAATGATCGTACATCACTTATGGAACAACGTAAATTGTCGTCAAGAAGACGTTTAAATTTGCAGAAATTATTGGAGACTGTTCCTAAAATATGTTCAACATTGGTTTCTGTAATGAAATGCGTTAAAAATATATATGATATGTTTCAACTGCGAGATAACAGCATCTACTGCGATAAATTGCTTTGTGACGCAACTATAAGGTATGATATATTTACATGTATAATTTGATTATTACAACACTTAATATATGTATATTTTAGGTTTCTTAAGCGTTCGCTAAAGGTTTGTGAAAATCTTGAAGTTTATGCAGAAAAGCATAGTGCTGAATGGATTAAAATCCTAGAAATGTGTGAACAATTCAGTATATATAAACAATCCTGTGATATAAGAATACTTCCTGAAGCAATAAATTATTAACGTCAATTTTTATTAATAATGTCCAGATGTTTAGATGTGAATGTTGCATATATACAACCTATATGAAACTACATATTTATGCCGATAAATTGTCTGATATAGTTAACAAAATGGATATAACTTTATTTATAGTTAGTTATCAAAAAAGATTATCACATTGTAGATGCGGCAAGAATCTGATTACAATTATTGTTGTCGTTAAACATAAAGGGACCTGTTGGTATTATTTCGTTTGTGTAGCAAGAAAAATCAAGGTTTAAAAATTGTGATGCATCCACAAAAAATATCAGTTAATGATTCCAAATTTACTGTATTACAAAGATTTATTTTTGACTTATTAAAATAAATATTACTCAAGATGTTCTGATCTCGAACATCTTGACTCATATACACTTAATATACAATATTTCTGCAACTTTTTTAATAGGAGTTTTCAACTTGTTAAATACGAGGTTAAATACTAATTTGTGAAAACTAACAGTTGCTATTTGGTATTTAATTTCTTGGCCTATCTCCCAAATCATCATATTCCATATCTTATTGAGTGCTCTCTCTTAGTATATTCTTTGTATTGGTTCTTTTGACGGACTGCATTGCGGCTTGAAAAATCTTAGATTATTTTCACTAGTTTTTAAATCTGTATTTGAAATAAACGAAAAAAAATTAGTTTTATTTAAAATTTCTTTTAGTAGGACAGTATAACTTGTTGGTAAATCCCAATCGTTAAGAAAACTATATATTAATATAAAACGTTTTGTAGATGATCGTTTGTTCCGAAATGCATCTTACAGCATTATAGAATTTGAGTACTTCAGTGACACACATCACTCATATTTTTGCAAACACAAAAATTATAGATTTTTGAGCTGGTGATAAATATGCAGTGTTCAATAGCAAAATTATTTGAAAGAAAGTTATGAGAGTGAATAGTGAATATTGGCAGAGTTATTTACGCCTTTCTTTAAAATGTGGAATTAGTATAAACTCTATTACATTGATATTAATGTCATGTGATGAGGTATTTTTTGGAAAAGGTTGAAAAATAATTTCTCAACCAAATTTCTCACTTCGTTTTTTATTATTTGGAGAGTCTACCTCCAAAATTGATTTTTAATATGAATAAACAGCTAAACCAACGAATTATTCAACAATATTGTGATTCATTTCTATTATTTTATCATTTCTAATTATTAAGAAAGAAGTGCGTTGTATTAAAATCGCATGTGCAATATGGTTTGATTTGTTGCAAAAGACTGGCTAGATATATACACACTCTTACCTTCTCCAATCAAATATTAATATCTTAACATCCGTTTTTGTACTTCGTATTTAAAAAAAATTCAATATGTTATTTTTATGATTCTTATAGTCAAAGTATTGTATATTTTCCAAATACATATATATGTTTCAATGTAAATGTAATTTATTATTGTTTCTATGTAATGTATACCTTAATATTAATTGCAATGTATTTATATGTATAGTTCCCCGATGATGACTATAGATTATAGTCGAAATATTGGACAATAAAAATCTTATAAAATTAAATAATAAAATTTTTTTTTTTTAAAAAATATTATTTAATAACTGACCAATTAGCCCGTGAAATAATTATTTTTTAAAAAAAATTCAATTTTTAAATTAATAAGTTACTTGTTCACTTTTGTTTACTAATCACAGACTATCGCGTTAATCCTTGCTTAAAGAATAGTTGTGTTTTCATGTTTTGCTCCTAACCCGTTCTATAAACGTCTGCTGCAAGTGCTTATGCAGTAAGGGTACCGTCCGTATGCTATCCTAACATGTTTTAGTTTTTATTCAAATATATTATTGCAATTATATTTGCATGGCGTATCGGGCATTAAAATTTCGGGAAGTTAGTTGGCAAGAGTATCAAATTTCTTGCTTTGTAGAAATATTCCAGTGTATTTACTATCATTTATTCTACTTTAATTTTTTTTAATACGTATTTTATTTGCACAATATCTTAAATTAACTTTTTGTACCTTAGTTGTAGCCGATTTCATTAAGAAAACCCAGTGAATAATAACAAAAAATTATATATTTTTTTAATGTTAATTTTTTCTTGCCGAGAGTAACGCGTCTTTATGACGAAAAGAAACTATTCAAAAGTTATATGGATTCGAATAGTAAAAAAAGAGACAAGAACAAAAATTTAGTTAATTTATTGAAAATTGGCTGACCATACAACGCAGTTTCGAGTATTGCCAACTGCTCATCATCAGTGGTCTCAGGAAATATTCGAATTTCTTAATTAGTTTGTAGTCCGTATATAATTTGTGTGTAAGTCTGCAAGTGCCAGGCTTAGAACTTGTGTTGTTTTACTGCCTTTCATTATTTAATCCACTATATCATTAACGGCGAAGTGAAGCTAGGAATATAGTGTATTTTTTATCTGCTAATATTGTCGTGTTATTTTAATCATTTTTAAAAATATTTTAAGCCAAAGAGTCTAAATTATATTGACAACTTTTAGTAATAGGTACCTGTGATATTTCGATTTGTGATGATGTAGACTTCATCACAAATTTTTAAACAAATTATGTTTAAAAAGAATTGTTTTTTTTAATTTAACAATGCAGAATATTTTAAGATCTTCCAAAAAAAGTTTGAGAACATAAGAAAAAATATTATTAAGAAAGTACGACTTCAAACTATGTGTACTGTTGAAGGTTTTACTAAGGTCTAAACCTTGACTTTGTATAAAAATAAAATAAGGAATTCTTTTTTTGTAACAAATATTTCAGTTTAATACCTACTAGAAAATATTTGAATGCTTAAGATACTTTAGAGATATGTCTTCTACAAGAACAAACAAAAATAAACACTTGTATTGTGAGATAAAGATATTAGTTTAAGTTATTTGATAACTACCTTAATAAACATATAAAGACTGCATTTAATAATTAGTTTAATAATTTAATAAAATATTTGGCAAAGAATTGAAAGCAGTATAAAGAGTAAAAAATTGAATAACAAATATTTAAAGTTGAAGTACAATTGTTTGTTAAATTATTTAAATATCTATTAAAACAACAATGCACGAACATTCAGGCATTGACAATTTTGCACGTTCCTCAGTTTGAAAAATCTGTTACTCGTATATACTCGTATATGTTTTTTATGAACATTAATTACGGTACCGGATTTACGGTGCTGTAACCTCTTTTGCGGTTGTCAACCCAAGTGAGCATAACGCAACAAATGCATCTGTTAACTAACAATGATGCTCGATTGTAAATGTATCTGCACCTATTTTTGCTATTTACTTCACGTTATTTTATTAAAAGATTACTGGTAATGCTTTTATAATTTAAAGCCATCTAATAGATCTGTTATTGTCATTATACTTCTTTTTTTACAGGTCATTAGTGTTTTAATATTTTTATTTAGTAAAAATTAGAAAGCACACATAGTACTAAAACTATACTGTCGACTTTCAAATATTATTTAAATAGTCGTACTAATTTAAAGATTAATTATTTAAAATTTAGTTTAATTTTTTAAATATTCTTTTTATGAATAATAGTCTCGAAATGATTCCATTTTAAAATTTTGAAAAAATGATTTAAGATTGTAGCCAAATTTGTTAGAATATAATTTCGATAAATTCAAAGAAATTGGAAATGATCTCTACCACTCTAACAAACATATATACGCTATTTCATGTCAGTAACAATTTAAAGGTATTGCATTAATTTCTTCTGCTCCTAATAATAAAGTGAAAATTAAATATGGATCAATAGTAACCTTTAAATAATGTAAAGATTCTTGAAGCCATTCGTACGTATACACGACCAAGAGTTGCTCATTCCTCCAACGGGGGACTCAAAAACTAGATTTGAAAAGTAGTGGTTGCTTGATGGGTTGTAGCGGCTGGGCGTCAGATATCTTTCATTTTCCTCAAAAAGCGATTTTTTGCCGTTTTGCTACCATATTCCTCGGAAGAATTCCTAAGATAGAGGAATATAGACTAAATCCATCGCATCAAATTTAGATAATTTAATAGATCTTTCATCTTCATCTGATAAGCTGTCAAAGAAATACCTATCTAAAAACCTATTTCTGAAAAGTAGTGAGTAAGTAAAAATTTAGTCGTAATGTATGTGTAATGTGAATATACACATCCTTTAATCTATTTTTATAGTTGATTGATTTTAATGGCGGCAGCACTTTTATTACCACATGAAAATGAAAATATAACTTTTAAAACCAATCTGCGCTGTTGATAAAGTAGATTATTTTAATATGATCGATATCTGGGTTCTTTTACTTCCATAATTTCACTAATTAATGCTGTCTTAGTGTTGCGAGGCGTGGGCATTTGCAAAGACGGGTCGTAGTCATTTCTATTTCTCTTTACTTCTTGTAGATTCCGCATTTGTGGTTAAAAGAGATACTCATTAACCAATGGCTTTCAGCATCGCCACGAGTCTCGCCATTTCGATCTTGACTCTGTTCAGTAGACTTTTCGTTCTCGATAATGTGTAAATGTGTAATTTATTATTATCAGTTTATTTTTGAGTTTAGTTTAGTTTTTAATATTTATTTCTCACAGTGTCTATTATCGATTCTCATTTGTATGTTACTGTTCGTAGAAAATAATTATGAATACGTTCTGACAGCTATGCTGGATATAACTAAGACTTATAATTAAAAGAATAAGTAAGACACAGTTGCTGATATATAGTATCATAGGTGGTGCAAAGAGAAATAAAAGACCGCGAAAACCGCTATAAAAAACTTATAACAGTTGTTATATATGAGAAACTATATAATAATAATATAAGTACAATAAGTCTAAGTAGAATACTGTTTATTAATTAGCAGCTCACAACGTTTCAACATAAAGAGATGAGACTTAGAGTTTTGTAACAAAATTACAAATTAATTCATTAATCGTACATATTATTCCAATACGACTATTACAAGAGCTACTAAACTAAACTACTATAGTTAATAACTTCTGAATGGAAACTTAAATATATGTTTTTTATGATCTCATTTTTCATAATTGTCATTTACTAATATGATTGAGAGTATACTGTAGTGTTCATTTAATCTGTAAAAAGTTGGTAAGATCAAATATAACTCTAAGCATTATAGTAAAAATTAAATAGAAAAGTTATTTTTTATTTGGCAAGCATAATAATATGTTAAATAAAAAGAATTTGAGACTGAAAATAACTTTTTTAAAATATGTTCCTTTATGATCTATACACTCTCTATGCGTTTGACACATTTGTTCGTTTAACTTCCTGAAACTCCGATGTGTACTGGTCAAGATCATGCATACATGTCTATTGGACTTTTTTTCCAGGGCCAGAAATCACTCTTAGTGATCTTAAAATGAATATTTTTCTTATTATTGGTAAAATAAACGCAGATGTATTTGAAAAAGTGGTCAAAAATTTGCTGCTGTTCAATTAAGTAATTAAAACAAATTGAGAGGCATCAAATCGTTTTTGCAGACTTATTTTGTATTTTATTTGCCTAATCGTTACCAGATACAGTTGGTTACCCGAAAACCTTTTCTTTTGTTGCCGTTTTCTGGTAATCCCAAAATAAAAAAAAAATTCTTCCCATATCGATTTTGAGTTCAAAAATTTTTCTTTTGAATTACTGAAAGAATCTATATAAAACAAATTAAAACAAATTAACTTATGTTTTCAAGAGAAATGCCACGGTAACATCTAAGTTCCCTCAGTATTCTATTTTACTCACTCTGTTGCAACCAAAGTTTCATTTTCAGTTTTACATTGCAGAAGGCTCATTCTACTACAAAAGGATTTGATACGATAGCCTCAACTCTTATTACAAATAGCTGAGAAGCATTTTGGTCATCATGCATTTGGACCATAAACATAAAGATATGGCACAGTATTTTTGAAAGTCAGTTTAAAATATATGTTAGGTTTTATAATTTACTTCAATATTTATCTCCTTCATTTTTGTTTCTTTTTTAATTATGGCAATTATGCTACTTAAATTGATCTAAATTAAAACTGTTGAAATAATTTCTAAGCATGTTTAAGGTGTGATCTGCTTTGCATTTGCTAACAAATAATTGATACAATTTGTGTCGAAGAGCATTTCTGCCCTTGCTAGAATACGTAGCTTTAAAAAATTTGTACCTTGGTAGCAATGCCTGTGAGATTTGGAAAAGAACAAGAGAGATTGATACAAAAATACAAACTTTTGTCAACAAATGTTTACGACAAATATTAAAAATATGGTGGCCCAACCGCATCACTAACACCAACCTATGGGATCAATCACCTGCTACTATTGAGATAAGAACACATAAATGGCGCTGGATAGGCTATTGGATCTCCGCAAATCCAATGGAAACATTGCATGCAAAACTCTGAGGTGGAATTCTCAATGCAGCTGTTGACCTGGAGCGCCGGCTAAAACTTGGAGGAGGACAATTGAAGAAAAAACTAAGAGAAATCAATTATTCCTGGAGTGATATATGCCGAGAATCAAACAACAGAATCCGACATAAAAAGATGGAGAGGCTCTATGCTCCACTGGGAGATGAGGATAAGAGAGAGAATCGTATTTATGGTGAGATTTGTTTGTCATACGGAATAGGTCTGTTAATATGATAATAAAATAACTGAAGTATAACAAAATATGTATAGCTCTTATTTCATTTGTATTTGTCTTTTCGTTCTCACTCTGAAGATTAAAAACGATATAGGTTTTGTGATCAAAAAACTAGTCAAGAATATTAAATAAATGAAATTAATTTTGCCGCATATTTTTACTTTCTGAACTTAACTTTCTTGAAGAGTCGCACCAGAATAAATAGAAAATGTATCTATTGAAAATTGTGCACTGTTTTTAAACACAGAAGTTTTGTTAGTTCATTAATTTTCATTGTTACTATTATTGCACTATTATTAAACAATCCATATTAGTTTGATTCTAAGCTGACAAAAGTTTCTCGCGGTCAATATTTTATAAAATTGCATTTAGAATGCCTGATTTCAGCCAGAGTAAGGTGAGGCATGGCGAAAGGGTTTGGCATTGTCACATTATAAAAATTGCCTAAATTACATTGCGCATATAAATTGTATGTATATATAAATCCGTTTCCCACACTTAACAATCATGCACCTCAACTACTCCACACTACGAGCGCAGCAAACCACCTCCATATCTCACTAAAGAGCCTTCGCCCTATTACGGCACCACTCTACCGCGAAGTACAGATGAATAAAGCATTTATTTGTTGTTGACATAGCATCGTATGGTCGTATGGTATCACTTCCATCTGTATCTGGAAAATTGTTCTATTTTGTTATGCAGATGTAAACTTCGTGTTTCGGCGCAATTTTTGTGAGCATTTAAAAACCACTGTCGAGCTATGTTGTTGAGCTATGTTTTTTGGATATCGCGGTTGAGCGATTTCAGTTAGAAAAAAGATCAAAAAATCTGTAAATGGTTTGACTCTTGTCGGGTGCACCTTACGCAGCCAGATCGCTTGGGTTCGTTGTCGTTTGCTGTTGCTGTTGCTGTTGCTGTTGCGGTTTTCCTACATGCTCCAAATTTTTTTTTGATCGTGGACTGTGATAGTCGACACAGTTTTTGTTCTGATTTCATCAGAGTAACCAATCATACTTTTGTGATCTTTGTTTTTAGAAATCAGTTTGAAATAGAAAATCGTTTAAATCGGTCGTGTGCTCAAGTTACGCGCTTTTTGTATTAATTTGGCGATGTTAAAGGATATGCAATCCTTTTTAATTGGAGTTTATATTAAGAGTTCTTAAAACCTATTCAACAAATATTTGAATAAAAAGTATACACAAATAAAATAAGTATTTATAGTTAGATATAAAAATCAAAAAATTAAGTGCAAAATCCAAAATAGTTTAAGAACTGCCATCATTATATGAAATCATAAATTATGTTAAATGAGAATATTAGCCAAAAAAATGTTCATCAAAGCGTAATAAATTAGGTTGATTAAAAAAAATTATTTCACATTTTCAATATATAAAAAATAATTGATGAGTATAAATAATTTAAATTTTTATGTGATACACTATAATACATAACATAAATATATATATATATATAATATAATAAATAATAATAATAAATAAATATAATAGAAGTATAATAATATATTAAAACAATCATATAGATCACAATATTCCATGGTAATGATAACATAAAACGAGGCATAACGTAATTTTTAGTGAAATAATCTGTTGAAAATAATGTAATAATATTGGATCTGATAAATATGTCTTAGTGATATTAAAAAATCATTTACAAACAATTAAATTTTGTTCGAAGTAGCATTCATTTACAATCAAGAACTTTACTCCACTTAATTATCTTTTTAGTATAACTAAAAAAGTTATGTCGCCCAACATATCTATAAAGCATTGTTAATGGGCTAGTTAATATACTACGTTCTAAAAAAATGTAAAGCAATTTTTAAACGAAAATAATTTTAATTGTTAACAAAGTTAATTGTTATACTACAATTATAACTATTATAAGAGAATAGTTAATGCTACTTATATTCATTATTCAACAATTATCTGGAATTTTTTTTATTTTGAATATAAGTTGTAATTTAACATCAGCTATGACGGAAGTGACTATTATATTTAATAAAACCTAGCATTTTTGGTAGAAAGGTTACCATAAGTAGTGAACTATAACAACAAAAATTCTCTTTACATTAATTTAATTAATTAAATTTTTGGCTGACCATACAGTTGTTGCGAGTAACATCATCAGACTTAGAATTATTTCTTATTTCTTCTTTAATAATTCGTAAGTAATTTTTTTAGACTGCTAGTACCAGGAATTGAATTCTTGCCCTGCCAAGTTTGAAGCTCAGAGTCAGCGTACTTGACTTGTATGTTTGTACTTGGAGTTTTGTTAATTTACTGTGAAAGTTCATTAACAAATTCACTTGCTGTTTTATATTAGAACGAAAACATAAACCAGTTGTAAAATAATTGAATTAACTAAATATATATATTTTAAATTCTTAAATTTCAATATTATTCTCATGTAGTTCGAGTATTATTTGTTGCTCTTTCTTATGTATAGAACGTCCTAGATAACTTTTATATAAGTAACAATTTGTTTAAATAATTCAGGTAACCATTGAACCAAGATGATAAGTATTATAAAGGGCCTCTAATGTGATGCAACAGATCTATAACCGGTCCACCTTATAATTTGAGCTAACGAACAAACTGATATGGATAATGGAAATGCATTTAGAAATTGCACAAATTCTCAATCCAGCAGTTCACATCAAATAATATTTCAGAGCTCTATTATTATATACCGACTTAATCAAAAAATATTTAGATTGGTATAAGTATTATATAAAGAAATAAATATATATAAATATTTAATAGAAAAGATGGGTATTTAGGTAGAAATTGACAGAAGCACAATCAAATCTTAACGAATATGATCCCTAATGAATATTATGTGTTACTTCATAAATTGATCGATTAATATTCTATTAATGAATTTAGAGTAATTTTTGACTTATTCTAAAAATAAAAATGTGTACAAATGTGTTTTGAAGGAGAGCTAGGGGTTTCTGATTAAAAACCAACTTAAGTGAAGATACATAAATTTTTTTTTACCAGAAGCAACATTTTGAAGTCTTTAATCGTTTTTTGTGAAATCATCTTTAGTTTCTAAAATGTATTTAATTTAGCAATTCAACAAAAGAATTCAGTAGAATTATTTATTTTTTACTACTGAAATCATTTTAGCAAGATTTGTGAAAACATAAGTTTGTACGAATAAAATTTCTGTTGTAGAATTTAATTTTTATATGTAAAAAAATAAAAAAAATTGGGTAATTATTTTTAATTTGATTCGGTTAGTAATCCGGTAACTTTTTGCATTGTGTCTTGTATATAAAAAACTCGTATTTTTTAATCAAAATTTGTTTTTGAAAAAGTATTTACAGAAAGTACTTTAAACAAATTCTACTTCTAAATAAAATCTACAATATAAAGGATTCAATTTTTGGTAAAAATCATATGATACCGTAAAGTGAAACAGATACTTTCATCACTCAAAAAATTAAAGGTCATCGCTTGATGTTGTGAGGAGTAAGAAAATATTTGACTTTCTGCTACTTTCTTCTCAGATAGAATTAATTTTTATACACTTTAATATAATTTAATTTCTTTCTTTCTTAAATAAATATAAACTTGAATAATAAATGAGTTGTCAAATTCTTTTTTAGCTTAAATCACGTCACCACTATTGGTTTAATCACTGTTGGATTTTGAGTTTAAGTTCTTTTTTGCTATTATATCCTACTAAAGGATCCCACCAAAAGTCTTTTGTTTTTAATATATTTATAATTATATTATTTTAAATACATTCGAAATATGATGAATATATCTTTTGTTATATTGAAAATCCACTGTTTAGTAGAAAGCTTTCAATTTCTGTAGCATTTACAGATTGAACTCATTGTTATGATGCTTCAATTCTTTCGGATAGTAAATCTTAATAGACGATTGAAATATTTTATAAGATTTTAAATTCTATTATATTGTCTTTGAATTTATGAATTAGTGGTACTTTAAAAAGATTTTTAAGACTATTTTTTTCAAAACGTTAAGTATTTGTAATAATTATTGTATATTTTCATCTTTTAGATAGACTGAAGTTCACAAAAAACAATAAATATGTTGAAAAGTAAGAAATTGATTTGGTTTGCAGTGATATTTTGTAATTATCAGTTAATTACTGGACTGCATATACCACCAGATGTTGAAATACTTGAAGGCTATGAGTTTGACGATTCACCTGAATATTACGCCACTGATGCTAATTATTATGAAGCGCGCAGTATGCTAACCGGGTTACGTAAAGCGATTCGGAATAAGCGTTCCATATTAGAATATAATAATCCAAAGATTTTCGGAAATGATGCTAAAAATTCCGCCTTAAATACTGATGATACTGCTCAAAATGTTGGTAGTGATAAGATTGAAATACGTACACCACCTCAAGAGGCTATGAATACTGAAGCATCAGAATTGTTACCAAAAGCTGAAAGGCAAGTAATGGATCCAGACTATGATTACTATGCTCAAAGACGTATATCCACATGGGATGATACAAGTAGTAATCATGGACATAATATTCGTAACGACGACGATACATTAGCGGATTCAAGTAATAGTTATTTTGCAAGAGGTAGGCAAGCGCGTGTTAATTTTATAACACAACCTAAAAAAGAGAATGAACCAACTAAAGAAATACCAGAACCAATAATTACGAAAGTACCACCACCTAAACCACATTATGACACAAAATTTGGTGCTGGAACACCGACATACAATTACGATTTATATCCTTCACGTTCTTACGATCCATATTTAAGACGTTATGATCGGTTAGTATGTTTTTATATTATATTTGTGTTTTTTTTTAAATTTTTTGATGTTACAGCTTTGATGAACAATATTCACGAAATCCATATAATGATCCATATAACTATGAGGATCACTATCTCTACCGGCGTCACTATGATCCATATGATAGTTATAGCCCACGTATGCCACAATATCCAGAGCCTTACTACAATTATCCCGATCATCGCTATGATATACCAGAACCTAGGGATTATATGCCAATATACAATAATGATATATATGATAAAGCTCCTTATCCGGCTGCTAATTACCAAACGGGCTTTCCATATTCTAGCAGCAAGTACCCCGACTATGCGAGAAACCAACGTCGTATTATTTACTATGCGCATCTACCAGAAATCGTGCGTACTCCTTATGATTATGTGAATCGATATAACCGTGATCGTTATGAAGGTTTACTTAGTTCTAATAAACCTGTTACTGGTGCCTACAAAATAGATAAGCCTGGCAATTCAGCTGGTAGTGGTACGCAAGCCCTTAATGTCAATGCTGATCCTTATGATTATATGAAACGTGACAAGAAGGAACGGGTCACAGCAAAACCAATTAAAACAAATACTAATGGAAGACAATAAATGTAAGGAGTCATATTTTTTTTATATATTTATATTATATAATTAAAGACATAACCAAGAATTATTTACTCGTTAGTTTGTAACAAATATTCCAATTTAACTTAGTTGTTTATTTTATACATTAAATATTATGTTTATAATTTCAATGTTCATTTTTTAAAATAGAAATATACATTTCAATAAACGACTTCACATTGAAACAACATCTTCACTTCGACATCTCGGGGTTAACTCATTTTAGTAAGGTTTTGTAATAGATGTTATTATAAGTATAATTTATTGGTTTTTATAAGAAATGGCACGACGTTGGCATAGACTTGAAGTTATCTTTATATATTTTTCAATTGCGTTAACTGATTCCATTTGTAGCGAATTAGCAGGTTAGCAAGTTAGCAAGTTAGCAATTTTCAAAGGAGACATGTAGACAATCAAAATAAAAATCTGTGTTTATCTGTAAATTTAATCAAAAATCATTTCCGTATTTATCATATAAAAAGCAAATATATAAAATATAAAAGATAAGCTTTATAATGAAATATTCCGGTCAATTTCATTCTTTCCCTCCTACATCCATTGATATGCGCCCGTTTTGTGAACCTTTTATACACAGCTTTTTAGCCCATGGTAGAATTTCTTTGTTGACCTTCTCGACTCGTACCACAAATTAGTTATTCACTTTTATGTAGAAAAAGCAGCAGCGTCACTTCCGCCCAACCCACGGAAGTGTGCTTAATCTCGCGTTAATAAAATGATGACGTGCCTCAAAGTTGGATTGCGTGTGCCAAGCAGTGAAATGTTAAAATGTTGCAGAAACTGTTGGCCCGTGTAGCTGTGATTCCACCAAAATGAATGCTATTTTAAATTCATTAAGCACTCGTTATTCAAAATTGCTTAAAATTAAAAATTACAAACAAAAAAAAAAAGCATCAACAATCGGCATAAGCATTTCCAAATTTAAAAACGTTTAAAAATGTTTATTCCAATAGAGCAGAGAAATTTATCATCATCAGCGATGAGCAGGGAGCAGGGAGCGGAGAGCATGGAGCAAGGAGCAGGAAACAGGGACCATGGAGCAAAGCACCAGCTCTCGCGGTTATGCTATATTTTGTTTGTCAATTTGTCCAATGCTGATAAGGGCGTGGGATCTAGGGTGGGTTGTTGCAACTGTGAAAGTAGCGTGAGACTTTGTTTCTTTCTCATTCAGCTGGTAAGTGGTTTTAGGTTTTAGGTTGGCTTTAACTTAGTCCTAATATGCAAAGTCAGTCAACATTGTTTTTGTGAAATTGGCATCAAAGGAATTTGCGGAATTCTTAATTAAATTTACAATTAAAATTACATGCGTTTTACCAGCAACAAACGCAGCGCGCAGTGCGGAGTGCGGATTACGGAGTGCTGAGACGTTAAAGCGAAAATCTTTTCGTTTCTCAAACATAAAAACTTATACTTAAGAAGTTTACAAAAGAAAATTGAAGTTTTTTTTGAAGTGTATTTGGCTTTGGTTAACATAACTTTCCGGCTTTGTAGGGTCAGCAACAGTTGAAGTTTGCTCAGACAAAGAAGCAAGGATAATGTTTTCGGCTTCCCCGTCTTCCTGCTGAAGATTTAAATTAACTAATAATGTTTGTGTTTTGTATTGAATTTTTGATAATGTTTTTATTTTGAAGTTGTTGATAGAAGAAAATTTAAAAGAAACATTTATAGAAGAAAAAACTAAATTGCTTAATAAAGCAGCTGTCGAAAGACAGTTAAGACGGACGCAATCGCTTTTTGATTCCGGTACCAGATAAGATAAAATAAAAAGAAAAAAAATTATTGTTTAAATTATTTTATTTATTATATGTATTATATGATATCATATGATATACTAGCATATAAATTTATGGTAGTATTAAAATAATGAAATTGCCAGAATTAATCACTTGAGCTTTTCAAAGTTTGATTAAAATTTGTTGCAAAAATTTTACACATTAAATTTAGATTTAATCTGAATCTGAAGTTTATAATATTTAAAAATTTTATATAGATATTAGATGTTAGCTCTTCGGAAATTTATGAAAACGTCGGATAAAAAAATCTTTTGATTATACTTTTCTATCAAGAGAAAAGAAAAGTGGTTTCGGACTGATAATATAGCTTATACATCGATATTGATTAGTGCAGAATAGTAAAAGGATTTTGAAAGTTACTGTGTAAAATAATAGCTATCTTACAGCTAACGATAACAACAACTAGCTATCAACTAGATGAACTAGTATATATGCAAAATATTCGTAAGAGTGGAATGTCATTAATGATTTGGTACATCACAAATCAGAGATATATCAAATAAAAAACTGACAAATATGAAGAGTTTGCTGTACCATTTTAGCGGAGAAAATCAAGATCCACATTTAATGTTGCTTCTTTCAATTGAGTTGCACAGTTTGGTTCAATTATGGCTTGTGGCTAGAGAGAAAAGTGATAATTGGTGTAGATTTTATATTAAATTTGTAGCTGTACGTACTAATTCTATAAGAAATTTCTTGATTCGATGGTATATATTTTATATTACAAATATGGAAATAAGAATGAAAAGTAAATATTAAATTGATGCATCGTGATATAGTAACTTTGAATTGTTTATATGAACTAGTCGAGTTTACCTCTATAAAGATATAATCTTTATGTCTTATATAGTACCTATATTGTAAGGGATATAATATAAAGAAAATTATAACAAAAAAAAGCTAATGATTTGCTGCAGATTTTTCTCAGTTTTTGGTTTGGTTCCTTATTTCTTAACATAAAATAGCGAAAATAACGGTTGGCTATAGTTTTGATTTCCGTTTACTTTTGTCTAATTGATACAAGATTAAAAAAATTCCACCTATCATGCAACATCTGATTGCTTAAGTAAGTCATAAAGTAATAGCGGAATTTTGTGTATAAGCCATTTTATACACAACATTGTAAACTTTTCTGCCTTCTAGCATTCAGAATTAATCCTGAACTCCATGCAACCTTCTCTGAAAATGAGTGCCATTTGTTGCATATTGCTAACGACAATCTTCAGATGGGGGAACTTGTAAGCAAATACCTAGATCCACGCATGAAAATTTAATGAATTATTAATCAAATAGTTTGCATTATTGATGAGACTCGCCTTTTTTGATATCTGTTACTCGGTAAGAGACCACAATTGCATTTGTCTTCCTTGTGCGTCGAATGTGTCCTGTGTGAAAAGCCGAGTGAAAAATTGACTATTGCCTGGCTGATTGCAGGCAGTAGATTTAAATATTTGGCAACGCCAATTACGGTTGCAGGATTAAATTTGCAAGTGCGACATGCTTAAGCTAGCGCTGGAGCTGGAGCTGGAGCTGTGATAATTTAATTTGAATGTAAAATATTGCCGAGCTCAACGAAATGAGCATCACGGCATATGTGTACGCGGGAGATTTGCATGGGGCAAATATTCAGGCACTTCAAGTGAAGTTTACGCGTGAATAATTAATCACATTGGGAGCAAAGGAATTATTTGATTTGTTTGGTTTCAATTGCGAAGTGAAACGAGAGTAGTGAAGTTATGGAAAAAACATAATTAATTACATTTTTTAAATTAAAAAAACAATGTATGAGTTTTATACCTGAAAAATGTTGCTATATTAAACCTTAATAAACTCATATAAAACTGTTGAAATTTGAAATTTTCATATTCACATCCCCTCCAACGAACAATAAAAAACGCAAATGCGTTGAAAACTGTCAAATGTGCGAGAAAATTTTGCGAAAATGCCACATTGGCGGGTAACATAATTCATAAAATTGCTACGCGTATCCTGCATCCTTAGACACATAAGGAAACATGTAAACAAATTATTCAATGTGGCACTTTTTGCTACATTTCATTCGACAATGGCTGTTGGTGCTGGTACTGGTACTGGCAGCGGCGGCGGTGGCGGTGGCGGTGGCGATAGCGGAGCGCCACAGGAAGCGTCTGCCAAGGATTACAAGTATATCAACCGAAGATAAATGATATGTTAAATTTGAGGAAATAACAAATATATTGTCATGACTTGGTAGACTCCTTACTTTCAACTTCAGTTTATGATATGCCTTGCGGTATTTGCTTGCTGCTTGCTGTTTGCTGCTTGTTTAGAGCAACTGAAAATGGCTGTGCGCGATTATTTGTGTTATGTTCACAGTTTGGAAATGCTGTCGACATTCTTTAAGATACTTCCCACATTGCATAGATTCCAGTCCTTAGCAAGTGCACGAAAGAGTGAGTAGCGGAAATTTGCTTTATTGCGCGCGACAATACGCGCTGCTGCTGAGGGCGGCAAATTTAAATTCGAATAAAACAAACGCAATATTCGCTTTGACAGGATTTAACTCAAGGCATTAAATTAGCTACTGCAAATGCTTTATGACAGCTAAGAGCAGTAAAAATTAGCAACTACATTACAATTCATGATGTTGTGCAAGTATTCAATGGTGAGGCAGTAACGTAATTCCTTAAATTGCACATTTGCATGGCTTTTACTTTAAGCAACCGAAACTTTTTGTTTCAAACACACATTTTTATTACGCTTTTGCACTGCATTTTATATCTAAATTATGTATATATTTTAAAATTTAATTTAATTTACTTGCCGACTGCCATTTGGCACACGTGCAACAAAGTTACACCTCAGTCTTGAAGTCTTGAAAAGTGGAAGATTGTAAAAAAATGGAAGAGAATAAGCGAATAAATTTTTTTTATTCATATTATCAAGCCATTTCTTAAGTTTAATATAATTTTATGGAGAATTTAATGTTTCTGTACTATATAAATTACTTTTTGTACACTGGTATATGTGAAAAAACATTATTGAAAAGTACTGTCATCAGACAATATTAGACAACTAATTATTTGATATCGAAAATTATGGGATTTCAAATAAACTATAAAATATATGTTAGTAATATTTTTAAGTAAAAATTTTATATTCTATGACAAGAAATCTATTTCGAATAGAGAAAGGGTGGTAAT